TATCATTTACACTGCAGTGATTTCAACTTCAGTCATATTTTACACACAGAAATGAGAATATGTGAAATGATTGCAGGGAAACCCACCACACCCACTCAGCAAACGGAGAATACCACCTGCACAACCTTTACCAGCAGGAATGTAAAGAAATGTCTTTTCTTTGACCATGCTTGCAATATTATGACTTGTTAGAATCCACAAAGGCCCATACAGTAAAACAGAGGTGGATGCACACATACTTGTCTTTTCCAATGGTTTCATAGTCTTTCACAACCACGTCAATGAATGATGAGGAATCCAATGGGGTACCTTTCAAATCAAACTCAATGATCTGAAACGGCAAAATCAGGTCTTGGTTATTCACATTTAAGATGCTTTGATTTAAATGACATCATTTTAGTGTCCAACAAAAAAGAAAGTACTATGACTTGTACTGACCTCATTCCACACAGGATTTAATTCTTTGTCAATGGCTTTTGTTTTCTTTTTTTCACCTGAAAGTTGAAATGAGTAAACTGTCAAGTCTCTTAAACGAAATTATGACCAATCAAACTACACTAGTTTTGATATTGATATAACAGCTTGTGGTTACTATTAATAGCCTATTATATATTTTTTATTATTTTATTCATTTCATTCTTTGTTTATACATTATATTTAGTTTTCAGAACTATAATGTAAAAAAATGTGCTTTATAATTTTTTTTTACAAAATTTAAAAAATAAAATGTTATATTAAAGGCATAATATGTCATTTTTCGCCGCTAGAGGGCACGTATTCAAAATAAAGGTGTAGTTTGATGACGCCGTGACTGAGTGTGGAATCATGGGATTTGTCGTCTTCATCCCCACAGCCGATGCAATCCGATGGGACTCGGGCAGAAATCATGTTCATGGATGAACTAATGATTTATTAACCTAGTAGAATGAAGCTGGGTGAGGCTGAAAGCCGTCGAAGTGAAACGAGGCCACTGAACTAGCGCGACACACGGCTCGAAAGCAGCGGAGCTTTTATTATGCCACAGTCGACCGCTTCCGCTCCTACTGGTCGTGCGTATGTGGGGTAAAGCAGCGCTGTTTTATCATACTAGATACTTTTGAAAGTTCTGTTATAATGCTACTCTGTGCGGTCGTCACCGGTCTATTAAAACGTATAACATATTAAAGCGTCTTTGGTGTTTCCATGTTTTCTACAAAACAAAA